ACTTCAAACAGCCCTTTAGATCCTCAGTGTGACAATATATCAATTGTCTAGATCAACCAATCAACCTTTAGTTCAACCATGTGCTTGAGTTGCTGTTGTCTGTTTTGACAATATGGCCGTGTAGCATTGCTTTGTTCCAGATTAAAGTTCTGTTGAGTTTACTGTTTATCAAGTAACAAGTCCTGATCTATACACTCAGGATATTAGCATTGGTTATTGTTTTGTAAGAAAGTTTTTCTTTGTTTGTGTCTATACTAGTGATGACTCCATTGAGATGTTTGGAGAAAAGGTTACTCCTTCGCTCTGACAAAGGGCTAATGCTTGAAGTTTCAGCCTTTTTAACTCTTTACTGTGGCAAATTTACGATCTCAACTATGTGGTAAACACCAACTTACCTGTTATACTTTCCCACCAATACAGCACTACAGTTTCTTTAGAAACTTACTCCCTTTATTCATTTTACTTTGGACTTGACAGACTTTACAACAGTCAACATGGACATTTAACTTATCTGGGATATTACATCTCTTTTTTGCCTTTTCACGATATATCCATGGATGTTTTCAAACAGAAGTAAATCATCCACGTGGAAGATGTATTTGAACAGTATTTTCCAGAATGTTTAGATAGTCAATATTCTATTAAATCCACTTAGGTATAGATTGCAATATTCTGATTGTAAAATGCCAGTCTTGTGGTGTTGTAGTTAATTACATAAGCTTCACCTTATCAGGAATTTAAACCATTGAGTTTGAATTCGAGTTGGACTTTGAGACAGTTCCAATAGGATGATTTCCCAGACAAATTAATTATCTCTTGGCATGATCATGGCCCTCTTTTAAGGGTCTCCTAATATCATCCTTCAGAATCATTCACCATTTTGACTATGAGACATACAGCCTAACTGATCAAAATTTAAATGAAATACGCTTTTTTTTTTTTGCTCTGATTTGTAAGTAGAAGAGCAATTCTTTGGTATTAGATCTTATATGCAAAGCTAGATTAGTTGTTTTTCTCCTTGTCCACCATCTCGTACTTTTACTGGAGGTGGTGGTCCATGTGCTCGGAAATTGTTAGGGCTTCCAGTGCACTGACATTTAGAAAGATGCCCACTATTTTTGTTAAAATAGTATTCATGGTCCATTTCAATGTACTTTACCAAAAGTCAAACATCCTGTGTTTTTGAAATAATAAATGTTGAAAGTAGGTTCCCAAGGTCTTTGGGCATGGACTGAAAAAATGTTCTCCATGGGATTTGAAATCCTAGGGCTTGCATGGTGTCTTATTTAAATAGTTCTAATTATGTTTTTTTATCTTGAACTGAAGCTTGATCATTTGGAGATGTCTGGGGTGAATGAGTCCAAGTCAAGTTTAAAGGATGAAACTCCAGTCAAGAAGAAGAGATTTCATGTTTTTGTGGCCAAATGGGAAGAGTCACCAGAGTACAACAAGTGTTATGAAATTTGGGAAAAACACAGCTTGTCAATTATCCTGGTGTGCGTAACAGTCCTTTTACTCATCTACAGCATCGTTGCCATTGCTCATAGTGGATTTGACAAAGCTAAGTCCTTGTTTGGACTTACCATGTTTTTGTGGTTTTGCATGACATACATGTTCATAAGTAAGCACTGTGGAGCAGAAATCTATCAAGTGGTTTTGAAGCCAATTGCTGAGGCATTCAGCAGTAGATGGCGTTATTTGAAATGGTGAGTGGACATTGTTCTAGAGCAGGAGTATGTTGTTATGTAAAGGATTTTTTAGGAAATGTTTGTCCATGTACTTTTAATCTTTTTCAGGGAGTACTGAGTAAATGAGAAGAGTGGTTAAGTTTTAATGTTTGTATCCACTCCTTTTATGAAGCTTTTTGACAACCAGTAGCATCACATGTGTAGCTCTGGAGGTTAACATTGAAAACTAACACATGGTGAACTCTACAGCAAGAGTTCCATTGGTAATCCTGCCTGGGTCACTGGTGCAGTGCTCCTGTGTAAGGCGCTTGCATGTATCTATCACAGAGCCTATAATAAAAGTATTTTTTCTAGCACACATAAAAAGTATCAGTAAATTGTCATGGGACCTTGAATAAATTCCTTGCTGTGGAATTCTACTGTATGATTCATTGCGTTTACATACAGTTTATAGCACCACTGACAATATACAAAGGGCACAGTTTCCCATGCCACGTGCATAGTTTGAGCGTGACTTACAGGACTTTTTGCTGTTTTTTTACCGAGTTAGTTTTAGCGAAGGATCTTAGGCTGTGTAAGAAGCAATAACTTCGAATTGTTGCCAGATAGACCCTCATTTGTTATTTGTTTTTATTATCCTGTACAAGAATACAAGGAATCAGACGCATAGAAGTTGTTGTGTCTTATTTATTCTGCCAAGTGTAGCTGGCCCTTACATCTTCACTGTTGGACTAACATAGGGCATAAAAGCAAAATTGTGTGGATATCCAAGATTTATTAAAACATGAGTCATAATTGCTTCAACCTTGTAAAGAACTTTCACTTAAATCTCTTAATAAAAGACAAAGAAATTAAGATTGAATGACCCATTCTCAGAACAAATGATTTCTTTTCTAGGGTTCTTTTGGTTATTGTGTTGGTATTACTTGGAGTATTTTTCGGATTGGACACTGCTAAGAAACCTGAACGTTTTATTTCCCTTGCTGGATTGCTTGTGAACATTCTCTTCTGTTGGATTTTCTCAAAACACCCAAGAAAGGTAAATTCCACCCTCTTTTTCAAATTCTTTGGCTGAACATCCACTAGAAGTAATCATCATTCAGTAGATATGCAAATCCTCAAATAAGTAATGAGTTTATTTCAAATTTAGGATGAGTGGGGCGCACTTTGAGTTGGGTGGCTGGAAATGGTCAGGGGGGAAAAATCCTCGAGGTATGGGACACCTATGGCTGTGGAAACCATTGGGGATAGCCTCTAAATATTTCCCCAAGTCATGGAAGACTCATGTTTGTTTGTTTTTCATTTATTATTATTATTTTGATACAGCATTAGCATGAAAACTTGAATAAACTGCATGTGTAGTAATGGTGAGATCTGTTATTGATATTCAATGGCAGAACATTTGGTACTCATGTTATTTTTATTTTCTAACTTGTTCAAAAACTGAATGAATTAGTGCACTAGTGAGTGGAAAAGAGCAATTAAACATGAGGAATTCTTTACATCCTTTTTTCTCTCATTACTTGTCAGATTAACACTGGGGAAAGAGAGGGGGGATCACTGTAAGTAGACTTAAGAATTGTTTACAAATTGTTTTTCAACTCTCCTTTCTTCATTGCTAGGTTAAGTGGCGACCAGTTATCTGGGGACTTGCTTTACAGTTTGTGTTTGGCTTGCTTATTCTTCGTACCAAATTTGGTTTTGAAGCTTTCAAAGGTGCAGGAAATCAAGTGACAGCATTCTTGGATTACACCAGTGTTGGGGCTGCATTTGTGTTTGGAGAAGGCTACAGAGAACATTTCTTTGCCTTCCAGGTATATATTAATGTGCTTTATTTTAGACAACATTCAGCTGTAAATGATAACTGTTTACTTATGGTTAGTTTATTGGAGAGGATACATCAGTCAAACCCTTACCTCCTAGACACTATTTAGGGGCTAATTTTCTAATATACTAGGCCAAAATTATCATATGGAGGCCAAGTGTAGAACAGAACTTTGCCACCTTATGGAAAAGGGAGAAAGATTGCAAGTGTGTGTTTTGGATTAACCCTTGAAGTCCCACAAGTGATTTACATGTAATTTCTCCTTATATTATCCATAAACTATCCTACAAACAGGTAATGAGAATACTCAAACTTATCAGGTAGAAGTTTTCTCTTGATTTAACAACAAATTCTTGTTACTTATTTACAAGGAAATGTGTAGCAGCTGGAGGGGAGAATTAACAATCAGATCCTGGCAGTTAAAGGGTCAAGGCTCTTATTTTAAGCCTTTGTAGTTTATTACACCAGCACTATCAACTGGGTTACACAAAAGCAACCAAAGGATTCTGATAAGAAATAGCATACTTGAAGTAAATTATAGTTGTTTGACCTGTGGTTAAAATAACATGATGAATTGATATTTTTTCTACATTTGATGTTGTTAAAGAAACTGAAATCTAAAAAATTTTTTAATTTTTTAATCAACAGGTGCTGCCCATTATTATTTTCTTCAGTTCAGTTATCTCACTGTGTTATTATATTGGTATCATGCAAGTGATTATCAAGAAAATTGCGTGGCTTATGCAGAAAACAATGAAGACAAGTGGTGTGGAGAGTTTGAATGCTGCTGGAAATATCTTTATTGGACAGGTACTGTACATGTGTAATCTAATTTATAAACTCTCTGATCCTTGAATCTGGTTGGTACCATTTAATTCACTGCCAGGTTGCCAAGAAGACAATATTGCCTGACTTGTACTTCACATTCACCACTGTCTTCTTTTCAGAAAAAATTCTGCCATTCTTTGTGTACTTGATGCATGTGTATAAAACCATCAGGACTTGAGTGCAATATCTCTCTTGAGGCAGACAAGAAGGTTCTTTAGAAAATGAATTGAGAGAGTGATGGATTCCTCAACTTGGAAATATTTGAATATTCATTCTTGTGTTCTGTTTTTGTTTTGTTCTATGTAGACTGAAGCACCCCTTATGGTTAGACCATTTCTTGAACATGTCACAATGTCAGAGCTTCATGCAATAATGACAGGTGGATTTGCTACCATCGCAGGAAGTGTATTGGCAGCTTACATTGAGTATGGTGTATCAGCCTCTCATTTGTTGAGTGCATCTGTGATGTCTGCGCCAGCCGCTCTTGCCATTTCAAAGCTAATGTACCCAGAAACAGAAATTCCAGAAACTCTTGATGATGAAAATATTGAACTGCCCAAAGGGTAAGCCAAGTTAATAGTGGTGTCTGATTCAGGGTTGAAAGGATTTTTTAGTAACTAGACTTTGATACAAAGTCTCAGTGCAATGTCATGCTTCCATATTGAAACACTAAGAATAGTATGGGTATTTTTCAAAGTAAAAGGTGAAATGCATTGGTTGCCAGCTCAGCTTGACAACCCTTTTGATTATGACCACATTTTGAGACAAAGTATGAAACTTTGTGTTAGGTGCTAGTGGTTTTATGTATTGACTTTCTGCATAATCCTCTTGGTTGGGTGTTTAATGAATGTTTGTTCCACTCCTGTTCATGGATCTTTGACTTTGTCTTTGTCTTGTAGAAATGAAAGGAATATTATTGAAGCGGCTGCCAAAGGTGCCAGTACTGCTATTGCTCTTGTTGCCAACATTGCAGCCAATCTGATTGCTTTCCTTGCCTTTTTGGCGTTTTTCAATGGAGTCTTGTCATGGCTTGGATCAATGGTTGGAAAACCAGAACTTAGTTTTGAGGTATTAATTAGGTCAAAATTTTCTAGTACCTTGAAGTGATTTAATTTATCTTGACTTTTGTTTGTGATTGAATAAACCAGAAATCAGTATAGTTAGTCAGAGAAATCTATTTGTTTGCACAATGAATCAAAAAGTCAGAGCAGAATGTTCTTGTTGGTGAATGTTATGGAGCCTTGTTGTGACTTGCAACAAGGTTGGAAAGTGAGTACTCAAGGTTTAAATATTGTACAACCTCAAAATACTTTTATGTTTAAGGTGTAAACAGAAATCAGTGAGAATTTCCTTTCATTAGAAGGGATACTTGTAGGTTTAAGCATTAAAGGTGTGCTGGTAGAAAATGTTGTGAGCCTCCAACTCTAGGAAGCTTCATATTGGCTGAAAAGGAAATATGTAAAAATCACTAGAGGATTTGTCTTCTTGTCTTTCAGTATATTTGTTCATATGTACTACGACCAGTTGCCTTTATCATGGGTGTTCCTTGGGAAGATTCTGATGTTGTTGCAGAGCTTCTTGGTATTAAAACATTCCTAAATGAGTTTGTGGCTTATACACGGCTTGCTGGGTTTATTGATAACCGGAAAAAAATGAATGGCTTGCGCACAATTTCGGTGAGTGTTATATAGAATATAACAAAATGCACACAGCATGAAGTTGTCTACTGTTAAGTTAAAGTTGTATGGTTCTTATATGTTGTAAGAGATGATGGAAGCTTCATAATCAAAACATTTAGATGTGTGAATGGTATTACCATTCTTTCAAAGCTGTCTTCCTGCTTTGCTGTCTTTAAAGGGAATGCCCACACTCTAAAGAAAAACAATTGTTTAAGTATACTTGTAGATGATGAACTTAACATACTGAGTGCAAAACAATGAATATGGAAGGTGTTTGGTATAGTTTAGACAGACAGAGCTGCCTTAGATAGGTATAATTTAGTGTTGCATTCAGGAATTGAAAATAGCTTAGTATAACAGATTGTACATCTTTCATATAAGTTGTTATGAATTGTTCTGCAATTCTCAGCATGCAAAATTTGTCTCCTGCCTGTGCATTTGAACAGTTGTTTTTATTTTAGTGGCTGCATTCCTTCAAGTAAAACTCAGTGAATTTTGGTTTTGTGTAAATGCATGATATTAATTTATTTTCATACTTAGGATCATAGCAGTGTCAAAGACATATAGTCAAGAGTTCCTTTTGAGCTTTACACAGTCATATTTAGATTTACAGTTGGTAGTATTTTGTCAAAATTTTATTTTCTTGAATGGTTTAAATGGGATCATAGTTTTGGTTTTAAATGTTAGCTGGCTTTAGTTGAACAGGTTCCAGCACCCATCAACCAGTCTTTGCATGTTATGGCAACTGTCACCATAATCCATTGATGGATGAGAAAAAAAAAGACGATTGTGTCATAAACTCAAGCTTGAAGTTGGCAAATGTTCACTTAACTGCATTCTTGACATAATCTTAGTGCATGTGCCCATGAAAATGGAAGGAAATTAAATGCTGTGATGCATGTTCCATTCTCCCATCAGCTAACAAAATATTCCCCTTGATATGAACTAATGGCTGTGTTGTAAACATAGGGTTATAGTTTGCAATTGCAAACTTAACAGCATTCTTGTCATAATCTCATTATATGTTTATGAAAATGTTGAGGAAAACAATTCTTAAATCAGATAAACAGCTTGTTTTCTTTGATGTAATCACTCAAACCCACTTTGTGTTAATTATTTTAACATATCACATGTTCAGCATGCAATGTCTGCAAAAACACTAAACCTGAAGATTCACAATTCAACTTCTAATTTATCATGTATTCCAAACTTAATATGGGTTGTAATGCATACACTAACTGTTCATACTGGCCTTTCTTACAACATTCCTGTCTCTTTTATAATAACTTTGTTTAGAATTTGAAAGTTTTTAAACTTTTGCTTACAGGATCTTTTTGCATTTTTATTTATAACTTTTCATGATTAAATTAAAATCTTACATGAAAGCATTAAATTTACAACATAATTGCCCAGTAACCTATTTCTTGGGCTAAGGGTATGTAAAAACCATGGAGAATCATTAACACTTGATCTTTCAAAAAGACTGTCAAATATTACAGCTAGATGTACATGTTGGTGAATTTCAGGTCTTTTAAAATGTGTTTTTTTCTCCACTCTTGAATTTTTGTTTTACTTAATTTCCAATCAAACTTACATTGCAATAAAATTGTAAATTTGCTTCACCTTTGTATTTGTTATTAGAGAAAGTTTGCATTTTAATATCAAGAAATCTAAGACTAAAAAATGGAATGTCTAAAGTTGCCTTTGTTTTGCTCTGTCGTGTGTTTTTTTAACACTTAACATTCATTTTAAATCATTGGTAGGGCAGTCTCAAAAGACAAATTTTCCTAAAGACATGTTTACCTTTTGTTATAAAGAATGTTTACTGCCATTGTCCCCATACCTCTTAAACAAAATACACTGACTGCGAACTTATATTAATTTGTATGTCAAATGAGTAAACAACATATTTTAGATTGTTCTACCTACTTGATACTAAATGCACTGAATAATGGGCTCTTGACTGAATTCAGTTTTTCTCAAAATGAATAACAAATATATAATCTGAGATTTTCTCACCCTGAAGCCAATTCTAAGAAAATCTTACAACTGTTTAATATGCTTGATCAAACATCTAAAATATGATAACTTAGATTTACCAATTAAAGGCTTGTAATTTAACACACATGTATGAAATAACAAATGTTACATTTTCCCTTTTCTACAGCTCCTGATTAAAAAATCTCCCAAATAGATTCAGTAAATATTTTTTAAAATGTTAATTGAAATTTCACCTTTGTTTCTTTGCTTTTGTTTTAGTTTTTATAATTACCATTTTCTTTAAACCCTTAAGGCTAGATTTAACCATAGAAGAATGAAATTGTAGATTTTTGTTAAATGAACTTGAATCCATCAATTGCACTCATTATTGAATGAGCTTTAACCCTTTGCCATCCCTATTGTGAAAACTTCTTGTTTGACTGATGAAGACTAACCTTTAAACATTAACAATTCCAGTGGTTCTCCTGAGGATCATCTATCAATTTGAAAATTTGTGAACTCCATAAATATGGATAGTATTTGAAGGATAACATGAAGATAATGTGGTCATGGGGAAATAGAAGCTTTAATCAATTTTTATGAATAGGATTCTTATTTGGTGTAAAAAAATTAATTCCTGATTTCTATTGTTTCTAAACCTGTAACATTATTTTTGACCATGAATAACCCACGACAGAGTAAAAGGTACTCAGAGATAAATTTCAATTTAGGTTCTTTTTGTTGTGTAATAATTGCCTTTGAATCTTTCTTTTCTTCACTGCTTATTAATATTTCCAGTGTTGAATAAATGATAAAACCTCATTTAACAATAGTAACATCAATTACTGATTTGTCAGATTTATGTGGATTTGTGAAATTTGAAAAGTACGCAAAGTGAAATGTTTTAGTTAAGCAAAGTTCAACATAACATTTCAAGGAGGTTTAAACTTCAGATCTTATTTTTTAATTAATAATTTAAATCAGAACCATACAATGGTAACCCAGAAATTGACACTAGGAAAATAATCTTTTAATCTTATTTCTGCTTGCTGCCCTTAGAAATTACATACGAATTAGAGGTTAATTTCGACACTTACAACCTGTTAACCTATCTTATAACAGCTAAAACAGGAAATAAAAAAATCATGTGAAATTCTCCACTTTTGGAACAGCTCATTCTTAAAAGTGACAAGGTAATAAATATGTTAATTTCTAACCCTCTGGCTTCTAAGATTTGATCAGTAATTCTCTCTTCTATTCGCTCTACATTTCCATGTAATTGAGATAATTATATCACAATAACAACGTTCAACCGATAACTTAAGTTTGTTGTCGTTTCCTAGTTACAGATGAACGCATTTAAATCGCAAGGAGGACGCATTGAAATCGCAAGGAGGATGAAATTGTTAACTTAACCTTTTTTACCCTGAGAACTTACAAACAGTTCTGTTGCTACTGTAAGAAAAATTATCCCGTTAACCCTAATTTCACATCAAGTAATTTTTACGGATCTTAATAAAGCGATAGTTGATGGATCAGCTTTTCCTATTCATGAACATTAACCCAAAATAATTTTCATTTGACTTTTTTTTAAGTGCCGTTTTGTTATTGCACTACAATTGCCTTTCATTTGTCAATCGCAATTTTCGAATTGTTGCTTTTTCGTTCATTATATCATTTTTTCCCATTCAGTTTTCTTTGCTTTCATTCTAGTTTCCACTTGTCCTAACATAGATATCGGTTTTATTTAATTTTTCTATAGTTACTTTTGTTGTTAACGATTTAGTTCGTGTTCGCACTCTTTTTAATATAGTTTTCATTCTTGGTATTAGTTTGCACTCGTCTTTAGTTTAGTTTTAATTGGTTTAATGTAGTTTGCACTTGTATTAACATGTTCTTCATTTTAGTTATTCTAAATAGCACTTTTCTTAACACAGTTTTCATTCGTTTTAGCACCATTCTACACTCACGTTAATCTAGTTTTCATTTACTTATACCTCCACTTTTATTGGATCACTACTTCGGCCATCTCCAATGTTCTTAATCCTTGTAACAAAAGCTCTTCATCTTCGGTAAATGTTCTACTGTCACCCAGTAATGGATATCTGCTTCACCATAGTCTTTCTTTTTTACTTCCTACATTGGATCTCTCATACTAATATCTAATATCTTGTCACCCAGTAATGTGCCCCTTCTTCACAGTCTCTTCTCCTCTTTTCTAAGAGATTCCTTCCTCGTTTCTATTGTATCACTTCATATTTCTCATGATCAATACTCTTTGAAACACAAAGTTGTCATCTTCAGCAACTTTTGCCACCACATAACTTGTAACCACTTAACACAATTCTCTCATTACCGAACTTTTCTAACAGATTCGCTCGGAGATTATTGCCACGTATGCGTTATGTGGCTTTTCCAACTTCAGCTCGATCGGAATTCAAATTGGAGGTTTGGCTCCGTTAGCCCCGTCACGACGACAAGACTTGGCCACGGTTGCTTTACGTGCACTGGTTGCGGGTACAGTTGCTTGCTTGATGACGGCATGCGTTGCAGGTGAGATTTGTAACGTACATCTTTTTTAATTGCATCTGTCCAAACAGATACGTTCTGAAATCATTAGCACCTATGCTCTCTGTGGGTTTGCTAATTTGTCATCCGTCGGGGTTGTGCTTGGAGGTCTGGGGCCCATGGCTCCTAGTCGTGTACCGGACATGTCCAAGATAGCAATCAGGACCCTTATTGCTGGTACTGTTGCATGTTTCATGACTGCTTGTGTAGCAGGTGAGATTTATTAGTGTTACTTCCGATACATTGGATTCAGGAATCGAGTGATAGAGCGGCTAGTCAGACCTAAGGTGAACATAAAATGGTACCTTTTTTTCAGCCAATCACAGTACATTGAAAGGATATCTTAAGATATATCGTCAAAACTAATCCGGGGTTGCACGAGCTTTTCTTCACTGTATTCTCATATAGCGTGCTGTTCTTGGTCAAGAAAACTCGTCCCACCTTCCCAATCAATTAAGTGCCAAAACTCAATCTAATCACGACTTGATTATCATCTGTGTTTTACCTCGCTTAACCCTTTGACTCTTAAAGTGACTAGCATTTAGTATCTCCTTACAATATCACTCCTGAATCAAATGATAAGTTCACGAGAATAAAGGAGATGATCAACTAAATAAGCTCTTGATTTTCAAATAGACTCTCCTCGTCAGTACCATGGGAAAGGTTAAGGGAACAGAATGGAGAATATGCATACTCGTGTTACCTATTTGACGTTGTGGTCTCTGGCGAATGGATTTTGTTAGTAGTCAAACTTAGACACATCTCTCTTTTTCCTTACAAATTTTGCTTTTAAATTGCTCAAATTAATGTCATCAGTGATTAAACCGTGACATATCTCCCTTTTTCTCCACAATTTCTGTGCGAGAAGATACAGAAAGGCTACCGTTCGGTACCCAAAATCTACTTTTCATGTGCCAGTAAGCAATTATTGAAGAGGAAATTGGAAAACGGAGATAAGGACAAAATGATGAAATCACGGAATAGTCAAGATAACACTTATTAGCAGTTTGAGCAGTATCCGACTACCTAGCACACGTTAAACCACTTAGGGAATTCCTACCACAGCGTAATGTGATCAGGCAGTGTTTATTGTTTGGTGATTTTGTTTTCTTCTCACGTGGTTTCTTTCCAGGTGTCCTTTATGATGAGAGTTTGTACGAAGGTGTAGTTCAGATAGCGACTGCAGCACCCAATGCAACAGTTGCTCCATAAATTGCAGTGTACAGCCATATTGTAGATAGCTAATGCTTGGGCCTTTTACTTTTTTTTTTTGTACCCTACTGCAAAGCTAAAGATCTTCAACAGACGACTGGGAAACTTATTAACAATCTTGCCGAAGTTAATTGTTATAAGTCAGTGGAACCTTGATTTAAGCATTGTTATTTTCTGTAGACTTTATTGATCGTTTTCAAGGAAAGAAGGAGATCGAATTGTTTTGTTTACAAAGGCTTTCTGTACTCAAATGTTTCTTTCAACACTTTGAAGGTGAATGCTGTGCAGACTTTCGCTCTTATGATCTGATTCACAACTCTTCCCTCTGACTGTCATAAATTTCCTCGAGAAATTGGTATTTTTTCAAAGTAATGCCCTCCAGCTGATAACGCTGCACATTATTAACTGCTTACTGGATAATGTATCGATGTTGTAGAGAGATTTCACATAACTGAAAGCATTAGAGCACATCAGCGCATATGCACGCTGAAGGAGAGTGCGTGGGGGTATCTTTCTTTGCCATATGTGAGAAATAATATTTTAGTTCACACTATACTGTTTTGATGCTGCTTTCATGGTAAATAGAAAATTTATGAGGATATCAAGTAAGTGTGTGTAAATGTTCGTTGAAATAGAAACAGTTTAAAGAGAAACATTCGCTCGTATTTAGTAACTCAGAATTCAAAAGAGCTACAATTAAGGGGAAAATAAGATTCAAAC